GGTGGGGTGGGGTGGGGTGGAATAATTTGATATATGTTAGTTTGCTGCAAAATTAAAGAAATGTAGAGATCACACAAAAAATATAAAAATGTTAGAGAAGTAACTTGTTAACTTGTGTATTTTTTAATGTAGCCAAGATAATATTTTATAAGCCCTCAAATATAATGGTCATCAAATACAAATTAAAGTTGGTATATTAGTAGGTAGGGGGTTATAAATCAATGCACTAATACCCACTAATTCTTATTTACTTGGTATAATAATTGGTAGGTTAGTGGTTATCCACTTTATATAGAATATATACAATATTTTCAACACTCTTTCTTGGATGACAACTATGTTAAGATAATATGCTTTGTTAAAATCTTTGCTAGACAATCTTATGAAAAAAATCTAGCGAAAGAAAAATAATACATATTCAAATGAATTTTAAAATAACGTTGGATACACTAATGTTATTTCATTAAAACCTTGTTAAAAAAATTCAATGGAATAAAACCTAGACGAAAGAAAAAGAGTATAACATTCATATTGTCATGTATCTTGATATGGATACTCCCCCTAATAAAAATTTTCCCCTTGATAAAAAATCAACTGAATTGGTCAAAAACATTATCTGATATCATATACTTCTTGAAAGTTGATGATAGTAAAATTTTAGTAAATAGGTCTGCAAAATTATCACTAAATCATATTTGTTTTACTTCACAACTACGGTGGAGTTCATGAGTATAGAAGAATTTTGGCGAAATATGTTTGGTGTTATAACCTTTGATAAACTCTCATTTAATTTGTGCAATACAAGCAACGTTATCTTCATATAAGGTGATTGGTAAATCTATAATCAAAGGTAGTTTATAAGTATCTCAGATGTGATTGACTACATACCTTAGCCACACACATTCATAGAGTGCAAGTATCTTGAAATAATTGAAAGATGTAACAATCAAAATTTGTTTGGTAGATCGTTATGAGATCGTTGTATCACTACATATGAAAAATATACCTAGTTTTGTGAACAAATCTTGTGGGAATCTGATAGGTATCCAGAATCTCCATATCCAACTAAATGTAGACCATTGACTGATTGTTTTGAGTATAACAAGTCCAAATCTACAGTTCTAC